ATTATACATATTTTAAGATGTTTGAAAAAAAATATTAAATAGTACCTCTGGCTCTGCGAAGCCGTTTGTCTGTCATCAACCTTCATAAACTTGTGCATAATACTGGAGAAGGGAGAAGAGTCTTTCAAGTTCCCCGCATTTGCCGGCAAAATCTGACGCGGCACTTTCTCCGGCGGAGTGTCGGTTCCCGTTACTTCGGGTGCGGTTGTCTGATTGGGAATGACGGCCTTTTGATCCTGTTGCGTCGCCGGAAACTGAGAAACTCGGCGGCCGTCTAGTGCGTCTCCGCCGCCGGAGCTCTGGTTTCCCAGCGAGGGTTTTCGGAAGAAGGAGAGAATCGACTGCTGGCGTTGCATTTTTTCAGATTCAGAGAGAGAATGCTAATTGCTAAGCGCGAATGCCGAATCGGTATAAATAGCAAATGCAGAATTGGCGCCAAATTTTTAGAATTTGGAGTGATAGCTATGCCTAAATGGCGCCGAATAATTTTGACCTTCGTCACACTTTACCTTCCGGTATTTACTTGCAGAATCGTAAAATTTTAATACAAATTTATAAATAAACCCAATCCTAAACATGTATTTATAAAAAAATTCTAATATTATTTAAATATAGAAACACACCCAAAATCAATCCCAAAATCAACAATTGTATATTTTTTGGGTGTGTTTATAAATGGGTTTTGAGTGTGTGTAATGATGGGTTTTGGGTGTGTTTATAAAGTGTTTTGGATGTTTGATTTTTTTATAATTTCAGCCCCCATTTTGGGTGTTTTAGTGAAACCCCCAAATTTTAATTAAACCAAGCACGTCTCAAGTCAACCACAAAAGGACCAATTGGCAATTTTCCAATAGTTAAGAACATGACAACAGATTTTGGGGTCAAATCGAGAATAAAGCTAAATAGACATTGTCCTTTCTACTCGAGCGGAAATCCTTCTTTTATAAATAGATATATAATATATAAAAAATCGTAGTATAGCCGCGCGGCTATAATCTTTTGTAAATAGCCAAGTGGCTACTGACTGGTCGTCACAGACTGCTATCACAAACAGAAATCATGACTAATGCCCTGGAGATTCAATACTTGTGAAAATGACGCCAAATTCGGATATGTTGCAGTAGACATCCAAATGAACAACTTTCATGAAGAACAAATTTTCATTTGAGGACTGGAAGCTGGCCCGAATTGCCACTGTTTTCAGCTTTCACTGTTGCTGGAATGCTTCTGATGTTTGATGTCGCAAGGATTTGGCATTTATCCAAATGATCTCAAATTTGGATATGTTGTAGTAGACATTCTAATGAAAAACTTCCATGAAGAAAGACAATTCATTAGAGCATTGGAATTAGGCCTTAATTAGGCCCGAATTGAGCACTATAAGCATTTTGCTAGCGCTGTGCATCTGGTGTTTTCAGCTCTTAGGATTCCACATTTGTCCGAATAAACCAAAATTTGGATATGTTGCAGTAGACATAGAGATGAATCATGAAGGATGAAACTTGATTTGAGAGCTGGAAGTTGAAATTTGGGCCCACTCCAACTGACTGCAGCAATGCATGTCTTCTAGCCAGATTTTGGCCGTTTTGATGTTCATGGAACATTATCTTCCATTTTAGGCAAAAATACAATTTTTGGTACAAACAGTACCATTCCCATGTTTATCAACGGAACAGCTCCAGCCATTCTTTCGTACTCATTAGCATTGAACTAAGAGTATCAACCGACATCTCAGAAGGTTTTCCACCTTTATCAATGAAACAGTTCCTGCTATTTTAACAACAAAACAATAAAAATAACATACATGCACCAACACTTCTAGTTGTAAAGGAATTTTGATCAGGCGTCAGGGGAAAGCCTACAAGTTCAAAGTTTAGTTGCTTGAACTGGAAAAACCATATAGCTAGTACTGATTATGAGGGAATAGTAACAGTTTGGGATGTAAATACTCGGAAAGTATGTGATGTTACTTACACATTCTGATTTTTTGTGTGTGATTTGAATTTGTGTACTTATTCCCTCAACCTTCAATTTTTGTTGCTCATGCTTAAATTTTCCCCCAGAGTGTCATGGAATATGAAGAACATGAAAAACGTGTGCTTGGAGTGTTTGATTTTTCACGCACATAAGAGGCTTGTATCTCATAGTGATTATTGTAAGGTAGTCTCAAAATCTTTAAAATCTTTAAAATCTTAAACCAAGTTTTGTATTATGCTTAGGTGATCTAAAATGTAATGCAGTACCCGTTTCCTTTTGGAAAAGCAAAGAAATGTTATGCTGCACACTATATTCTGTTTCTTCTATTATTTATTAAAGAGTTATTTACACTAACACCCTCTAAGGAGTAAAATGATATACTCACTATTTACAAGTGACTATTTGTAGTGGATATAGTCGAGATGTTGTTAACTATGCTACTAAGTTTTTTGTATGCTTGACTTAAGGCTGGCTGGTTTAGGCTACTCGTATACGTGATATACGCTTGTATCTGGTTTATTTAGTATATGCAAGTTTGCATATACATGATGCTAAATTGATGCCTTATGGGTGTAGTATCTGTTCTTGTATTTCAGCAGGGAGAAAATAAATATGTTAATTTTGCAAGAAAAAATTAATGGAAAAATTAATGGATTCAGAGAAATATTGATATGTCCTTCCTTGTGTAATTTTGACGTTACATATTGGTTGTCGAATTGTTTAGTATGTTTTAGCAATCCCAATAATTGTGGTGTATGCTTGAGTTAAGGTTTGGCTAACAATACTTAAATATTAGATGCCCCATACTTTGGCTGCCCTCACAGTTTACCACCTACCCCATCTATAATTTAAGCGGACTATTTAAAATGATGCTGTGCTTTCAGCTTTTTTGGTGCTCAAGGAATGTTCATTGAAGACTAACTATTGCTGTCCTCTATTCTCTGCATAACAAGCAGGTAAAAGTTTGGTGCACACGGCAGGAAAGGAAACTAGCTAGTGTAAAAGGAACCTTCTTGTTTTGTCCAAAAACCTTTATACTCTTTGCTTTTGCATTTATGAAACAGGCACATTACACGATTTATCAGCCAACGCCAATCTCGAAGCTGAGGTCTGTGATTCATTTCATGCAGTACCGTAAATGGATAAAATGAAAGAAACCGGAAATCCTTCTTCATGCTCTGAATCGATGCTCCCTTCAACTGAAGAAAGCCCTTCCTCTCCAGCATTTATACAACCCAATCTTCCTGCTGTCACAAATGTTGGGAAAGGTACAGGGGTGAGGAGTTACTCGCTGTGCAACAGGGTTAGAGTTTACACAGAATTTCTTGATATTGCATTCCCTAATCGCATAACGGTGCTGCCCGTTAGTGATGACAAGTGGGTGGCTTTCAGGTTGGAGTTCCCAAATGAAGAAAGCAATTAAGTTGAGTTGCTGGTGTTACCAGAATATTGTTTTTGATAAGACCTAGTTTTACCATGATATCCAACTAGACTTTCAGTTATGTTTAACCTAAACTTATGGCATGTATCTGCTTCTCATGCTGGATGCTGATCCCATTTGCACCAGTTTATGAACTTTTAAGTTATGATTGAAACAATTTAGCATAAAATTTCTTTTGGGAAAATTATCAAACATGAAACAACATTTAGAACATAACAATAATTTTTAACTGGTAAATCAAATTTTACAATGAAAATGTAAGTAAAGGAATTAGGGATAACCTTCCAATGGTCAAGCCCTTTTATTCAATTCATGCATTTTTCATATGCATGCATGAGCAGTTATTACAGATTTACAGTTCTTGACGTTTAATTTCCTGAATTGAATGGATTGTATGCTTGAAATAGAACCAAAGTACCATAACAAATAAAAGTGCCAAACCCAAGTTCACCATTATTTTCCTTGGCTGCTGCTTCATCTCCAAAACCAGCCCATCCACCACCACCTGCTTATAGTTATAGTTAAAAGAGCACTTCTCAACACCAGCATTGTCCTCAGGATGCCCAAATATTGCTCTTCTAAGCTCCTCCTTTGTCGAATCCTATCATCATTTTAGGTAAGAAAGTATCACAGGGATAATCAAAGCTTTCCCAAAAGATTCCTCCAGATATATGATCTCTCAAAATGAAGTTTCCGGAGTCTAAAAGCACTAGCCGGGCTGCACGCATGGGTCTTACGCCTAGAGGAGTAATCGGGGGCCCATCTCTTCTTTTGTTTTGTTTTTCTTCAACATATGAATGCAATTTTCCTTCTCAAACCCTAACTCTAACAAGAGCCATCTTCCAGCCCCTCTCTCTCGCTCAGACTTCTTCTTCAATCCTCATCTCTCTGTCTCTCGCTCATAGCACCATCGTGATCTCTTCCCTGACCTTGGAGATTCCAACATGCCGTTTTTTTCTTTTCTAGGCGCAGCGCCCTCCTAGCCCGCCCGCCTAGACCGCCTAGACCGCCTAGACCGCCTAGACCGCCTAGAGGCCGCCTAGCGACCGCCTAGACCGCCTAGACCGCCTAGAGGCCGCCTAGCGACCACCTAGGGAGCCTAGCCCAAGCCTAGCCCGCCTAGCCCGCCTAGCCCCCGCCTAGAACATAGAGATCTTGGCCACCATCTGCATATACCCCAATGTTTTCAAAAGCATGCCTAATCGCGCCCCGGTGCGCCGGAGCGAGGCGAATGGAAATTGCCCCAAGCGTTCGTCTGTTTAGCTTGCTGCACGTTTAGCGGAGTGAGGCGGCCGAGGCGGAGCGAGGCAGAACAGCGCTGCTGTTTCTGCGTTCTGCAAATAGCGCGATGAAGAAGATGAGGTGGTTTTTTTTAAGGTTTTCTTCAATGGAACGACTTCGTTTTAAGGTTTTGGTTTCTTTATTTTAAGTTAAACGCACGTTCTGACTCCCCAACTATAACCTGGACCTATATATATATATATATCAAGGATGAAATCAGACTCCATGAATTGCTATTTTTGCATATTCTCATAGAGGAAAATATTGTGTCTTTGCGAGCATTGGGTTCCTACTTGAAGGAAAAACTTAGTACGTGGCTTAGCCCTGCTGCATTAGAGCTTCACCAGATCACATGGGATGATCCAGCCTCTTTGCTGGAAAAAATTGTGGATTATGAGGTGCTCAGTCTTCCTTGTCTCGTAACAAATTTAGGTATATTATATGTATGTAACCTTGATGTCGTCCTATTATATTGTTTAGGTTGTGCACCCAATTAGTAATCTTATAGATCTCAAGAGAAGGCTGGGACTCGGTCGCCGTTGTTTTGGATATTTACATTCAGCAATACCTGGTATTCTATTATTGTTGTCTCTTTGGTAATTAATTTTTGATGTCACCTAAGAGCAATATTATGGTTATTCAGTAGATAGTATGGTGAACCGCTTATTTTCGCTGAAGTTGCACTCATGAAGAATGTGGCTCAAACAGTACAGGTCAGTTTTATTTCAGCTTATTAGACTCTATATCAGTATGACAGGAAGTTTTGTGGGATGACCCTCCTAGTCCCGAATGTGAGGCTACATCCGCTTTGTTTTACTCCATATCATCAACTCTGGTGTGCATGTTGTTACATTAATGATTATTTCTAGAATTTAAATAACTTTCAACTCTGTGTTTCCTTTTTGAAAGGGAATATTGACCTCTTATCTTCGGTTTTTTGCTTCCATTGCTTGAACTGAATACTGAAAAAATTCCACAGCCTGGCTTACAAGGGATCAACCTGAGAAGGTTTCTAATCAAACGTGTGATCACACTTGTGAAAAGAGAAATGACAAATATTTCTGTAAGTGCTTCAGTCTCTTTTAAAAATTTGAGGATATATAAATTAATCATACTTTTCTATCTAAGTCTTGCTCATAGATTTTCTCACTGACACATGGCCTTTTCTTCCCTTTAAAATCAGACATTTACGACTCTCAGCCCCATCCCAGGGTACATGCAGTGGCTCCTATCTAAGCTGGCTTCTCAATCAAAACTTTCTTAAGGTGAAGACATACAACATGCGACTCTCAGCCCCATCCCAGGATGCTTCTGTGTAAGCTTCATACTGTAATGGCAAGTTACTTTAGCATCTAGAGAGTAGCATACTTGATAACATTTTAAACTTTCAGGGAATTCACTTCTGGGAAAAACAGAATGGAAGTGTTGTTCAATTTATTGACTTCACCAAACAATGAGTGGACAAGTTCAGATAAATTGCTTTCAGCATTAAAACCCCCTCAAATGCGACTGTGTGCCAGGTATATTTGTATTCTAATAAAACTAGTTATTAAGTGAATTTTTCTCTCCTATTTTTTTCCTGCAAAACTGGTATAAATGGAGACGACGGCTCTGTTGTAGTACGAAACAGCTAAGAGTGAATATTGTGTAATTGGCGATTACATCATACAAATTGCTTTTGTATTTTTGCACAAGCGTGTGTTCTATGTTAACTAATTATTGTTCCTTTGCCTCTAGGTACCTTCTGCAAGAGAAAAAGAAGGAAAAGCTCTGTTCCGTCTGAAACACTTTTAACTAATTCTTGTTCCTTTGCCTCTAGGTACCTTCTGCAAGAGAAAAAGAGAGGAAAAGCTCTGGATTCTGTTGCAAATTTTCACTTACACGATGAAGCTTTACGTCATTTAACTCAAGTTGGTTAACTTTTCCTCATACGGGCCTTTCTAGTTGTTGTATAATATGATGGATTGGGTAAAACACCTAAGATGCATAGATCAATTATGTTGCTTCTTCTATGTAATTCCCAGAAATTTTGGAATATATTTAACGGTATAGCCGTTCGGCTATACCTATAATATTAAAATAGTATAGCCACGCGGCTATACGATTTAAATATTCGCCAGCTATACTATTTAAATATAGGCCTTTAATTTTAGTCGGCCCGGATCCAAGGAAAATAGAGCTACAGAATAGCCCAGGCCAGCTTAGGAGAGGTTAGGTAACAATGTATAGCCGTTCGGCTATACTATTAAAATTTTAGAATATATAAAAAATGTATCGCCGCGCGGCTATAATATTTAAATAGTGCGGCTATACTATTTAAATATTCTAATATATTATTAACACTGTATAGCCGTTCGGCTATACTATTAAAATTTTAGAATATATGAAAAATGTATCGCCGGGCGGCTATACTATTTAAATAGTGCGGCTATACTATTTGAATATTCTAATATATTATTAAAACTGTATAGCCGGGCGGCTATACTATTTTTAATAATAACAATCCCAGGTATAGCCGACCGGCTATACTATTTTGAATAATAAAAACCGTGGTACAGCCCGTCGGCTATTCTCTTCTTATAAATTAAAAAAGCCCAGTCTATAGCCGCGCGGCTATATTATTTAGCGGCTATACCATTTATAATTAAAAAAAGACCACCAGCTGTCCCTAAGCTCCCGCTTTGCCACGTGTCCAAAACATATAGCCGCATGGCTATACTATTTATCAAAACAAAAGACCCCAGTAACGCCGAACGGCTATACTCTTTTTTGGAAAACAAATATCCCGGGTATAGCCGCCCGGCGATACTATTTATAAAGAACAGAGAGGACCCAACCAGCGCCTAGCGAGTCCGCGCCACGTCTAGATGAACTCCTCTTATATACGACAAGCCGTTTTAGCTCGAGTTCTTAAAATGTCCTCTACTGCGAGGATGTAGAACGAGGCACCAAGACTACGAATGGTAGACTGCCACGTTGTGAGCGCCCACAGTATTTTCTATTCAAGCAATGCGAGCATTACGCTGCGAAGAACACGTGGAGAACAAAACCAGCGCGGCACATAATAACCGCCACCCGCGCGTATTTTCAATTTTCCATCCATAAAAAATCTAAAAAAGAAAGTTTGAGAACGTTCCAGATTCTCACCCCACTATAAAGAGCACCTCTGATCATCTTCTCTACCAATCGCAAACAAGACCAAGCTTTCTCTCTCTACATCTATCCGACTCTCTCTTCAGATCTCCGACGATGCCGAGCAGAAACCCAGGAGTGATAACCCAGGACTGGGAGCCGGTGGTCATCCACAAGTCCAGGCCCAAGGGTCAAGACCTACGCGACCCGAAGGCTGTGAACCAGGCGCTTCGGTCCGGCGCGCCGATCCAGACCATAAAGAAGTTCGACGCGGGCTCCAACAAGAAGGCAGCGCCGGTCGTCAGCGTGAAGAAGCTCGAGGAAGGGACCGAGCCGGCGGCGCTGGACCGGGTCTCGACCGATGTGAGGCAGGCCATACAGAAGGCGCGTCTGGCGAAGAAGTTAAGCCAGGCCGACCTGGCCAAGCGGATCAACGAGCGGCCTCAAGTGGTTCAGGAGTACGAGAATGGCAAGGCGGTACCGAATCAGGCCGTGCTCTCCAAGATGGAGAGGGTTCTGGAAGTGAAGCTCAGGGGCAAGGTTGGCAAACAAAAATAGTATTGTGGAAAGCTAAAAACGCTGACGTTGACGTCGTTTTAGGGTTTTTATTATGAACATAATGTTTGGTGTAATGGTTTTTGTCAGTTGTCTGTGTGTGTTGTGAGTCGAGAGCGAGGATGTACAAAGATGCAAAGGATGTATAGGCAAAATAAATTGCCAATTGATTTCATGAGATCAATGGATTTTGATGTTGTCGTTGGCGTGATATTCTGGTTTTCGTTGTTATTGCTTTGATCTGATCATCAATTTGTCCCCATTTTCATCAATTTCATAAACTACCAGGAGGCGAAGGGAGGATTCTGGTTTTGGGCTGTCTACAAAGTCGTTCTGGTGTTTTGGGCTCAGCTTTTACCAAACTTTTTAAATTTTGTCCCGTTTTTGGGTATATTATGGGCTCAAAATCCAGTAAAAAAACAAAACAAAACTCCGACAATTTTTTCAAGACCCAGCTACAGATAGAGGACTTGTTTGGTGGCTGAATCAGGATTGGGCTTAAGTTCATTTTTATTCCATTAAATAGGTGGCCGAAGTGTTCGTTGGCCTAGTGTTCGTTTCCTAGCTT